ATCATCAGAGTTTGTAGCATCTGTTCAAGTAAAAGATCTTAACTTGTATCAGCGGAGGTGGTTGGAGCTACAAGGACTATGATATCACTATTTTGTACCATCCGGGGAAGGCCAATGTAGTGGCCGATGTTTTGAGTCACCGGGCAGAGAGTTTGGGGAGTTTAGCATATTTATCACCAGCAGAGAGGCCATTGGCATTGGATGTTCAGGCCTTAGCCTGCCAGTTTGTGAGATTGGATATTTCTAAGCCGAGTCGAGTATTGGCTTGTGTGGTCTCTTGGTCTTTTCTTTATGATCGTATCAGGGAGCGTTAGTATGATGACCCCCATCTGCTTGTTCTTAAGGACACGGTCCGACACGGTGAAGGAGGAGGAGGATGAAGAAGGACATAGTAGAGTATGTGGCACGATGTCTAAATTGCAAGTAGGTGAAGTATGAACATCAACAGCCAAGTGGGTTGCTTCAGAGGTTGGACATTCTGGAGTGGAAATGGGAACGAATCACTATGGATTTCATTGTTGGACTCCCACGGACTCGGCAGAGGTTTGATGCAGTTTGAGTGATTGTGGATAGGATGACCAAGTCGGCTCATTTCATTCCTGTGATGACTACCTATTCTTCTGAGCAGTTGGCTCGAATTTATATCCGCGAGATCGTCAAGTTTTATGGCGTACCGGTATTTATCATCTCTGATCGGGGTACGCAGTTTACATCACAGTTCTGGAGATCTGTACAACAGAAGTTGGGTACTCGAGTTGAGTTGAGCATACCATTTCACCCTCAGACGGATGGATAGTCCAAGCATACTATCCAGATACTGGAGGATATGCTCTGTGCTTGAGTGATAGATTTTGGGGGTGCTTGGGACCAGTTCTTGCCACTTGCGGAGTTTGCCTACAATAACAGTTATCAGTCCAGCATTCAGATGGCACCGTATGAGGCTTTGTATGGTAGGCGGTGTTGGTCCCTAGTGGGTTAGTTTGAGCCGGGCGAGGCCATATTATTGGGTACGAACTTGGTTCAGGATGCCTTGGAAAAGGTTAAGGTGATTCAGGATAGACTTTGCACAACCCAGACCAGACAGAAGAGTTTCACGGACCGAAAGGTTCGCGATGTTGCATTCATGGTTGGAGATCGAGTATTGCTCCGGGTTTCACCTATGAAGGGCGTTATGAGATTCAGAAAGAAAGGCAAGCTGAGCCCAAGGTTCATTGGTCCTTTTGAGGTGTTGCGGCATGTTGGGGAAGTTGCTTATGAGCTTGCCTTAACTCCCAGCCTAGCAGGAGTTCATCCGGTATTTCATGTTTCGATGCTCCGGAAGTATAATGATGATTCGGCTCATGTATTGGATTTCAGCTCAGTCCAATTAGATAAGGATCTATCTTATATTGAGGAGCCAGTGGCTATTTTAGACAGGCAGGTCAAAAAGCTGAGGTAAAAGAACATTGGTTCTATGAAGGTTCAGTGGAGGGGACAACCGGTCGAGGAGGCGACTTGGGAGACCGAACAGGATATGTGCAGCCGTTATCCTCATCTTTTCACCATTTTAGGTATGCATATATGCTCGTTCGAGGACAAACGATTATTTTAAGAGGGAAAAAATGTAATGACCCGACCGGTCATTTTAAGAGTAATATCCCCAATCCCCTATTTACTGTTTTCTCCGTACCTTATTTTGCTTATGTGACTTACCGGGAGGTTTTGTTTTTGGTTTCGAAGTGTTTTGGGATACTTAGTCCCTAAAACGTGAGCTTAAGTTTTAGAATTTTGACGGTAGTCGGAACAATGTGAAGACGACTTCGGAATGGAGTTTTGTCGGTTCCGTTAGCTCTGTTGGGTGATTTTGGACTTAGAAACGTGTCCAGATTGTGTTTTGAAGGTCCGTAGCCCATTTAGGCTTGAAATAGCGAAAGTCGAATTTTTGGAGATTTGGACCAATAGTGAAAATTTTGATATCGGGGTTGGGTTCCGATTCTGGAAGTTGGAGTAGGTCCGTGGTGTTGAATATGACTTGTGTGAAAAATTTGGGGTCAATCAGACGTGGTTTGGTTGGTTTTGGCATCGATTGTCGAATTTGAAAGTTTCAAGTTCTTTAAGTTTGAATCGGAGGATTATTTGTGATTTTAGCATTGTTTGATATGGTTTGAGGGCTCGACTAAGTTCGTATGGTGTTTTAGGATTGGTTGGTATGTTTGGTCGAGGTCCCGAGGGCCTCGGGTGAGTTTCGGGTGCTTACCAGATTGAGTTTGGAACTTATGCAATTGCTGGACCTGCTACACCTGGTGTAATCACACCTGCGCACTTTGGGCCGCAGGTGCGGCGCCGCAGAAGAGGCCATGGATCTGCAGAAGCGGTTTTGGCCCTGTCTAGCTGGGACCGCAGGTGCGGCCATAGACGTGCAGAAGCGGACGCGTAGAAGCGGAGGAGAAGTGCAGATGCGGGCTCGCAGAAGCGGCCGTTGTTTGCAGATGCAGACTCAGTCCCCCTTAGGTGATTTTTGCACCTGCGATGGAATTTTCGCAGGTGCGGTACCGCAGGTGTGGTTAAAGTCTCGCAGAAGCTAGATTTCTGGGCAGAAAAGAGGAAAAATCGAGGGTTTGATTCATTTCTTCATTTTTGGACTTGGGAGCTCGGAAATTGACGATTCTCTGAGGAATTTTCAGAGAGAGCTTTGGGGTAACGATTCCTAACTCGATTTTGGTTGTATTTCATTAATCTATAGCTATGTTCTCCATTTAATTTCGGATTTGGATTGAAACGTTGGGAAAATGGGGGAAAAGTTCCCTAACCGAATTTCTGAGTTTTGATTGAGATTTAGACATAGGATTTGGTTAATGTTGGTAAGAGTGAACTCGTGAGTGAATGGATGTTCGTATTTAGTGACTTTTACCTAATTTCGAGACGTGGGCCCGGGTCAATTTTTTAGGACGGATTTCGGAATTTTTATGTTACAATCTTGATTTCATTAATTCGACTAGTCTATTATAGTTGTATTTACGATATGTAATTGTTTTTGGCTAAATTTAGGCCATTCGGAGTCGAATATTCGTAGAAAAGGCATTATGACCGATTGATTGAGCTTGGTTCGAGGTAAGTAGCTTGCCTAACTTTGTGTGGGGGAACTCCCCGTAGGATTTGTATTGTTTTTGATATATGAGCGCCGTGTATGTGAGGTGACGAGTACGTACACGGGCTAATTGTGTAAAACCCCAATTTTTCTACTAAGTAATAACCTGAGTTCTTTCTTATATGAGTTTCATCAGCATGTGTAATATCCTGCTAGATTAGAATAACATGCCTACTTGCCTTAATTGTTTACTTGAATTACGTACAAATGTTTAGTGAATTTACCTGTCTTTTCTTGATTGGTACTTAGGTTGAACTGTAGAATTTTGTGCCGTGACTATTGAATTCTATTGTTTAGCTGCATATTTACTTTGGGACTACGAAATGGTATTCCTGGAGATCCCCCTGTACTGCATATTTACTTTGAGACTACAGAACGGTATTCCGGGAGACCCCCCTGTACTGCATATTTACTTTGGGACTACAGAACGGTATTCTAGGAGATCCCCATGTACTACATATTTACTTGGGACTACGGAACGGTATTTCGGGAGATCCCCCTGTACTGCATATTTACTTTGGGACTACGGAACTGTATTCCGGAAGATCCCCTTGTCTTGCATATTTACTTTGAGACTACGGAACGTTATTTCGGGAGATCCATCTACAGATTTACGCTTGGGACTACGAGACGGTATCTCGGGAGATTTCCTGTTGTTATTCTCTGTGTATTGAGCTGTTGTCTTCTATGATTTCATTCTTGTTAAATTTTAGTCTCTATTTTACTGCGGTATTTTATTTTATCTTGTCTTATTATCTATATACCAGTAGGGCCCTGACCTGACCTCGTCACTACTCGACTGAGGTTAGGCTTGGCACTTATTAGGTACCGATTGTGGTGTACTTATGCTACTCTTATGCACATGTGTTTTCGTGTGCAGATCCAGGTGCTCCTTATCAGCCGCACTATCAGTGAACCGGGACATCTTTGGAGACTTCAAGGTATATCTGCCACGTTCGCAGACCTCGGAGTCCCCTTCTACTCTTTCCCATGTCCATTATCTTCTGTATTTTCTTTTGATAGACTCTGATGTATAGAGACACTAGATTTTCCTTTTGTAGTTTATGATTCACGATATTCCGGGTTTTGGGAATGCTATGTAGTTTACTAAGGAGTTGGTTACTGTACATGCCAAGTGGCATGGTATTCAGTTATGGTGTTATTGCTACAGTTAGTTGTTAAATTTATATTTATATTTTATTATTCCGCAAATGTTAGGCTTACCTAGTCACAAAGGCTAGGTGCCGTCACGACATCACACAGAGGGGAGATTAGGCCGTGCCAGCCTAATGTTACAACTGACAATGGGAAACTGTGGTATTTCTGGAGCTCAAATCTACATGAAAATATTTTTAGCAATGATGATAAATAAATTACTCTCAATTGTAAGCATGGATCGAATGATTGTAGTATATACATTACTGCAGTTTATGCCAAGTGTTGTACTATAGAGAGAAAAGAATTATTGGACAGTTTGACAAATTTAAACTCTACTATAGATGGACCATGGTGTATTAGAGGGGACTTTAATATAATCATGGATCCTGAATAAAAGATATAAGGCAAACCTCAAAGGATCTACAATAATCTGGACTTTATTAGTTGCATGGACCAATGTGGTGTTTCAGATGCTGGCTTTGTGTCCAAATATACATGGTGCAATAATAGAAGACCTAAACACCGAATCTGGAAAAGATTAGATAGGTGCTTGTTTAATGATATGTGGGAACAAAAATTTCAAAACACAGTGGTCAGGCACCTAGTGAGGATAGGGTCTGACCATCGGCCTCTTCTGATTAAATGTCAATTAGAGCAATAAACTTTCATCAGATATTTTAAATTTTTCAATTTTTGGGTAACTCAACCTGGCTTTATGGAACTGGTACAAGAGGTTTGGGATACACAAATTAGTGGGAATGCCATGTGGATCCTTCTTCAAAAATTAAAAATGCTCACCAAGAAGCTGAGTGAATGGTCTAGAAATGACATAGGTAATATCTATGATCAAGTAGTTGATTGGGAGGCAAAAGTTCAAATGATAGAAGACTTAGAGCTCATTGATAATAGTGAGCAAGTCAGAGAAGAACTCAATAAGGCTCATGCAGAGTATATCAGATAGCAAGCTATGGCGGATTCTTTATTGAAACACAAATCTCAGGTTAAGTGATTTGCAGAAGGAGATAACAACACCAAATATTTTCATAGCATTACTAAAGATACTTCAGATTTATAGAATTAAAAATAGCAAAGGTATATGGATTCAAGGAGATGAAAAGAATGGTAACTCTGCCATAAGACACTTTAAGAAGCTGTTCAACTTGAAGAAGCCAAAGCTTAATGAAACAGTTTTAGATGTCATTCCTACTCTGATAACTGAGGAAGACAATGATATGCTCTCTACAATTCCAGATGAAGAGGAGATAATGCTACATTTAGTATGATCCTACAAGTTCTGCTGGATCAAATGAGTTCAATAGAGCTTTTTTTTATAAATGCTGGCACATTATCAATCAAGATGTGACTAACTTTGTGCAAGAATTCTTTCATGGAAGACAACTGAAAAGATACTATTCTCACACTTGTTTGGCTTTGATTCCGCAGATAGAATCCCCTGCAAATTTCTCTAAGCTAAGGCCTATTAGTCTTACCAATTTCTCTAGTAAGATTATCTCTAAGGTGATTTCTAGAAGGATCAATTTACTACTGCCTAAGCTTATTTCTAAAAACCAGAGTGGCTTCGTCAAAGGGAGGCTGATTACTGATAATGTGCTTTTAGCTCAGGAGATCATTCAAGGTATTTCACAGCCTAATGTTGGAGGCAATATTGTGATAAAATTGGATATGGCCAAGGCCTATAATAGAATGTCCTTGGAAATTCATACTAGTTGTACTTAGGAAGTTTGGTTTCTCTGAGAATTTTGTGAATACCATATGGAGATTTATTTCATAGGTTTGGTACTATATTATTATCAATGGTACGAGGAAGGGTTTCTTCACATCTTCACACGGTATTAAGTAGGGAGATCCTTTATCTCCCTCCCTTTTTCTCATCGGAGCTGAAGTCCTTTCTAGATTAGTAAACAAGCGTTTTAATGAAGACAAGTTTATTTTTTTCACCATGAACTGCAGAGGTCCTAAGATCAGCTATCTTGCTTATGCAGATGATATCATCATTTTTAGCGGTGGTAAAAGTGATTATATTAAGCTTATTATGAGCCAAATCAAGAAATATGAAAATTGTTCAGGAAAACTTGTCAATGGACAGAAAAGTGTTTTCCTGACTTCTCCTAAGGCTTCTACCTGCAGAATCAATAGAATAAGGAGTATTACTGGCTTCTTGGATAAACCTTTTCCTTTCACCTATCTTGGTTGTCCTCTTTTTATAGGAAGGAAGAAAATATCAATTTTTGATGATATGATTTCAAAGGTTGTAAAAATACTGAGAGAGTGGCAAGGAAAGTTGTTGTCTCATGGTGAAAGAATAATACTTATCAAATATATTTTGCAAGCAATTCCTACATACACCCAGGCTGCTATGTGCCCTCCTAAGGGTACTTTCAAACTTATGGAGAAATACTTCTCTAGATTCTTTTGGTGTGCTTCAACTGAGAGGATAAAATTTCATTGGAGTTCCTGGGATAATCTGTGCTTTCCAATTGATGAGGGTGGAGTAGGAATCAGGAATCAGGAAGATATTTATAATACTCTAGCCATCAAAAGGTGGTGGAATTTCAAGACTCAACAATTCTCAAAGCCAAGTATTGCATTAGGGGTCACCTTGTGACAAAGGTATGGAGGTCAGGACAATCACATGATTGGAAAAAAATACTGGAAGTAAATCAAAAAAAAAAAAAAAAAAAAAAATATTGTGTGGTCCATTCACAAAGGCAATAGCAGCTTTTGGTGGGACAATTGGACTGGCAAAAGACCTTTGGCCAGTTTAATGGCTAATATTACAAAATCTGGTAAGTTGAAGGTTGCAGAATTTATCACTAATGGTAAATGGAATACTGAAAAGCTTGGTACACTCATTCCTAGTAATATGGTCCAACATATTAAAAATATTAAAATTGGGAATAGAGAAGTGATGGACACATCAATATAGACCCCTACCAATTATGGGCATTTTTAAAATAAGTCAGCTTGGATGGGTGTTAGAGCTACTAGAAACAAGAATAATTTGATAAAGAATATATGGAACAGTTATATTCCTTTCAAAGCTTCCTTCCTCATTTGGACACTCATAAAAAGAAGATTACCTTTTGATGAATTTCTTGTTATGATTGGTAAACATGTGATATCCAAATAAACATGTTGTACCACTCCTCATATAGAGACAATGCATCATGTCTTTCTAGAAAGCGAAGCTTCTCCATATCTATGGAACTACTTTGATGGCCCTATGGGAATCATACACCAACGACGTCCGGTGAAAATTTTACTCCAGAACTGGTAAAAAACAAATGTCAAGAACAATGTACAAAGAATGATGATTCAAATTATCCCTCTTTTTATACTATGGGAATTATGGAGGAGTAGTTGTGCTTGTAAATATGGTGATCAAAAGAAGTTTTTGTATAGTAGAATGGTTCATCAAATCCTTTGGAATTTGAATGCAGCTCTACGATTAGCCTTTCCAAGATGTGACTTGGCAATGCCTTGGCTCAAACTCTGTGAAATTGTAGATAATCTAAAGCCAATCTCAACCTGTAAGAAAGTTGTTTGGGAGAAGCCTCCTCATGGCTTGGTAAAAATAAATACTGATGGAAGCTACATTAAAGAAATAGGGAAAACATGAATATGAGGCATAGTTAGGGATAAGAATGGAGAGCTCATCATGGCATTCTCCCTATATGTCATCTGCAACAACAACAATGAAGCTGAATCCATGGCAACTAAATATGGGGCTGAATGGTGTTGGCAAAATGGTTACACAAATTTCATCCTTGAACTAGACTCCTTAATAATCAAGAATATGCTTACAAATCACAACATGAGCAATGCTAGATTGAAGGACATAATTGAAGAAATGATACTGATTTTAAGCCAAGCAAATGCTAAGACCAATCATTGCTACAGAGAAGCTAGTCAAGTAGCTGATCGATTGGCCAAAAATGCATCTGATAAGCGCGAGTCTTCTATAACTCTTGCCTTTCAGAACATTCCTAGAGAGGCAAAGGGCCCCTTTCATCTAGATAAGTGGCAATTGCCCAACTTCAGAATTAGATATGATAAGGTAAATTTCTATGTTAGTTAATTGTTCAGTGATATGGAATGGAAGGCTAAAGAACTTCTTAGTCCAATTTTTCAAAAGGTTGAACCCATTAATTTTTTGATGTAACATAGGTCAGGCCTAGCCCCCCTCCTTTTGTTATCTTTTGCGATGGAATGAAAGCACATCCAATCTCTAAATGGTGGGATTAAATAAAAAAAATTCCATGATTTCCAATTATCATCATATTTGGAGAAATTTTCCTCTGTGTTAAATGATTTCGTCGAAAATCTTTGCAACTCTCTTGCCATAAACAAAGCCACAACTTTACCTTCAGCTTCACTATCAAAAAATCCCCAACTTAAGGGCCGACACTTACTTAGGGGCGGAGTTGCATGGTCTGAAGGGGGGTCAATTGAATCTTATACACAAGAAATTTATACTGCACTAATTACAGGTAAGAAAATGTAAATCGATCGTCCCCTTTAACATGGGGAAAACTGTTAGTGTATTGGTAAATAATGTGATTATAAACTTATTCGTTTAAGTCGTAAGTTTGAATTTCAATTGTTTCATTCTTAGTTCTAACATAATTTTCAAATTCACTTGTTAGGATTTCTGACTTCACCACTGGCAGATATATTTCCAGAATATCTTTATGTGACCGACTGGAAGCTTTTACAGCAAGGAACCCCAATAAAGGCCGATATCGTGGTGGCTCAAGATGGTTCTGGAGTTATAAGACTATATCTGAAGCTTTAGCTACAGTAAATAGCATGAAGAATGGAACAGGGAGATTTGTGATATATGTGAAAAGAGGTAATTATACGGAATATGTGGAGGTCGAGAATACTATGAATAATTTGATGTTTATTGGAGATGGGATTGATGCTACAATTATCAGTGGCAATAGAAGTAATGGTACCGACCATTCAACTTCTGGTTCAGCAACTTTTGGTAAGTTTATTGTAATGTTATTAGAGACATACTCAATGGGTTATTGTATTTATAATTAAACATTTTAATTATAAGAGATAAGAAAGAAGAACGAGAGTTGATTATTGCATTATATATTCATTAGTTTCTCTCGCCTCCATGCTTGCATGCATCAATTATATTTCCATGCACGTACACTTAAAATTGGAAAAACAGACCGATTTCCGACCGACTTTAATCCGTCAAAATTACGTTGGTCGGTACAAAATAGCAACTGAAGTCGGTCGTAATTTCCGACCAATTTCGGTCGGTAAATTAATTTTCACAAATGACCCAAAAAGAAATATCTGCTGAAAAAACTGACCGAAGTCGGTCGGTATTTTTAATTATGGAATTAAAAAATACGCAGTCTGGGACTCGAAATAAGATCTGTACTATGGCAGTATACTATGCTTGTCACGCCCCAAAAACTGGGGTGAGACGTGATTGGCACCCGATCTAAGCAACACGTCGAGTGAACCCTTAACTAAACTGTACTAAGAATCATGATGACTAAATTAATCTCAAAACAAAACCATGGCATATTTATTCACTGAAAGCTAAATTCAAACTGAGAGCTAAGTCATAAATCTCAACAAAATACCGAATTGAGAATGAAAAATGTATAATACCCACTAGACTAAGGACCCGTTTGGCCATGAGTTTTGCCAAAATAAATTTGGGATTTATTGGCAAACACATGTTTGGCCATAAATTTTGCCCACATTTTGGCAAAATCCCAAATGCCAAATCCCAAATCCCAAAATCACCTCAATTGCTGATTTTGGGCCAAAACATGATACAGTCATTTTTTAAAATTTTTAAATATTACCCCAAACTTTTATAGTTTGTAAAAGAGCCCACATTTATTACGACCAACTAAACCATATCTGCTCACTTGCCTCTCATTAAACTTATTTATGTTCAGGACTATGGTTTGTGATAATGATAATGAATGGTATTTATGAAGGTTCTGTATATACAAGATAGCAAGTTTGTTCGTTTGGTACTATTGGGTATTTGTGATAGTTTTTAGAACTTGCGGGTATAAGTCATGTTTCATGTTTTTTCAAATAAAAAGTGAAATATGTTTTGAAAAATCATGTCCAAACATATTTTCATCTTCAAACCAAACTTCACCCAAATCAGATTTTTCAAAATAAATTTGGGAATTTATGGCCAAACGCTAGCTAAGTCATGAGCCTCTAAGAATACTGAACATTTACGGCTTCGCGGCATACCTCAGACGCTAAAACAATGCAAATAAACATTTAAATTTGAGACCCACCAGGGAAGAGAAGTGGGAAATTCTAGGTTGAAAGCTAGTCCTATCCTGTAGAGTGTCAGGGACCTGATCAACAATATCTGCATCCATGAAAAACAAAAGCAGGCCCTCATGGGCTAAGTATCACGACGGGATACCCATCAAGTCTCATAGTCTACCTTCTAAGAAGGCAGAGAGAAACCTTCTGGGATAAACATAAAAAGAAGAAAAGATATCCACATAAAGCGTGTAAGCAGTTTAAGGTAAAAAAAACTAATAATAGGCAAAGACTAAAACTGTAAGTTGAACATATAAACAGATAGCTGAAGCTGAAACTTTAAAGTAATAGTTAAACTGAAATAGAATTTAAGTTACACATGATGGCCCTACGTACGTGAGATCTAGCAACACGCACGGGGAAGTGTCGGCCTATCTCCCCAACAAACAATGGCCCCTACGAGTGTGGGGTGGCTAACTCTGGCCCCGATGACACTCACGCAAGGGGAGGTCGACTAGCTCTCCCTTTTGAACGTGATCATATTAATGCATGAATAAATATTGAAACTGAATACTTAATTGAATATAAATATCACAAACAAAGGTATGTAACAAATGGTAATACTAGTAATCAAGTAATTTTGTCATATATAAAGTAGTACTGAATAAGAATGAAGTGAACTAAGTAACGGAGTACAAGAAGATATGGCTTAGATTTATCGAATACATGGAGCACGAGGGTTTTGATGGAATTCCCAACTAGGAGAGTGAGCCTCAACTCACCTCAAAGCTTTAACTTCGAATCCTCTCTTCAAGTTCCTCGAGTGTTCCTCAACTCACAATCTACCATGATAGGCTTAACCACGTCAATTCATAACTATTAAGTTCCATTGCTCAATTCAATATGCCACTACCAAGCTCTGTAATATTATTTTTCTGTTTGGGCATTGGTACACTTGATCCAATTCCTAAGGATGTTGTATTAGGAATATTTTCTCTTTTTTTAATGGTCTCTCTAACCAAATGGATAATCCTTCTATGTAAATTTGATCACAGAATTCAGTATTGCATTTCAGTTATTAGAATTAGTTCTAAGTGACTATCAAACTCTTCTGGACATAGTTGATAAAAACTTAAAGAAAAAAAGGAACAAAAAGTTTTAAACTTTGAATTGCTTAAGGTTAGATAAAGTTGCTGCCTTGCTGGAGTATTTAGTCAAGAACGTGAAAGTGGAATAAATATGTCACGACCCAAATTTCTCATCCGTATGACGTCGTGACGACACCTGGTCTCTACGACTATGTAAGCCTAACATTTGCGGAATAATGAAATGAAA